AGTACAAGTGGAGTCAACAAACACTTTATTTCCCTAACAGCAAGTGACACTGGTGAAAGGGGAGAAGAAATGAGAGAGCCTAAGTGACCCTAAGGGACACTTAACAATACACGATATGTAAGGACCTCCAAGGAGATGCCGTGGAAAAGGGAACTGGATTTAGGGTTAGAAGACTGAGCTTGCATCCCACTTCCAACACAGCCTAGCTCTGCAGGATGTAGGGCAAGTCCCTGGACCTTTCTGTAGGTCAGGTTTTTCTGCCTCTGAAACAGGGATACCACCTGTCCTGCCCCATGGATCAAATGACTATATAAGAAAAGAACTTCCTAAATAATTTATACATAAAGCATCATTGTTATTATTCTACATTAGTCAGACTCTTCTAAGCTTTGTTCACCACACTTTTAAAAGGATATGAAAAACCCAGAATCTTAAAAGATCCGCCAAGATAAAGCCTTGTGACTTGACTAAAGAGATGGAAAGCATGTTTTAGGTAGAAAGTCTAAAGGAAAAAAAAAATAGTCTTACCCAAGGAACGTTAACGAGGTATTTATTACAGAATAGTTAAGTGTTCTTAAAAAGGATGTTGTTCAGTTGTTTTCTATAGGAAAAGGAAAAGAGATTCAGAAGAGGTGGACTTAAATGAACGTAAGCGAGATTTCAGGTAGGTCTAGGAAATAACATTTTACATGCTTGTTTTGAGATCAAATTAAAATGTATAAGCCACAAAGCAACAAAAAGACCCAGGAAAACTACCTGTCTGGATGATAAGACCCTGGAGGGGCCATGGAGGTTTAGAATTCAAAACCCATCTGTCCGGGATTGGTCAACATTACCATCCTCAAAGGAGTCAAATCAGATTATCTCCCAAGGTCCTTTCTAGCTTGAGAACTCAGAGACTTAGAACCATAGATAACTGTTCATTAGGAAAAGAACAAAAGTTAGCAGTAGTTGAACCTGGGAGTATATTTTATGCGAGTTTTCTACTTCCATCAAAAGTACTCTTATTCTTAAGTGATAAAGCAAATGAGGTAAAATGTTAAAAATAGGTGAATCTGAATAAAGGGTATACAGGTGGTTCCTTGCACTGTTTTATTTTTGCAACTTTATTTAACTACTATGAAATAGTCATCATTTAGGTTTAAAATATTAGGAGTTGACTAATACTTCTAATCTTATTAGTTCTTGTGGGGAAGTCTAGAACTGGATTATATAGCACTTCCTAGGGCCTTCCCTCCCTCCTCAGCTTTAACTAAGACAAGTAGACTCACATACAGCACTTGGTCATCTCGCATCTACAGTGTTCTCATCAATCTCTGTGCTTTTATCCTCTCAGAATTGAAAATAACCTTCCAAATTAGTTCTTTATTCATATTTCAACCCTTCCCTCAAACCTCTCCATGACTCTTAATTACTATAAATACTCTGACTTCAGGAAACTCCGCCAGGTCATTCTCACAGAGATGGAAGGGATTTCTTTCCCTGCCTGCTATAGGCAATAAGGGGGCACATTGCCTGTAGGGTATTTTAAAACAATAATAAAGGCAACTAAAAGTCTTTCTGCTTTTTATTATCACCAGGCACTGGCAATTCTAAACAACCTTAGTGTGAAGACACCCCTTCTGACCAGTGCAGACAGCTCCAAACATCATCCCCTTAATATGTCACCAATAACTGTCAGCCTCCCCAACCTCTGCAGAAATCCCTTATCCAGTAGTTTTTCTTTTCCTCAGGATCTCAAATTTAAAAAAAAACAAAAAACAATAAAAACAACACAAAGACTAAAGGCAATCAATCTGTTTTCTACTGTATTTGCAATTGTGAGGTATATCATTATCAATTTAATAGAAAAGCACATATATAAATTAATATGATGTCTCACTCTAAGCAAAACTAAGTAGTGTCCATTTATCTAATTCTGATCAATTATGATTTAGTATTGAAACTATTTTTCAAACAACAATAATGTAAACAAGTGGTTCACAGCCATTACTGCAAACCAGGAGCCTGGAAAATTGGCCAAGATTTATGGGATCAGACTCAGTGGATGCATAAGGCTCTACTAACAGGACTGCAGTCTTTCTGGCTGCTCTGATCCCCTGGTGTCACTTTGAGGCCCAGTTCATCTTAGTCACTATGAGAGAAAAGGTCTAACTCAGCAAAAGGACAAAAAGAGATACTAAAAGAAGGGGTCAATTATGTCTCAGTCAATCTTTTTGAGGGCCATCTTGCATAAAAGGCAATGCAGCAGCTGGATGGTGAATCAGCAGAAGGTCAACACTCTATTTGGTACTTTGTTGTCCAAAAGCTGTATTCTCAACTGCAACAAATCCTCCTAATTCTATCAAAAGGCAGGGAATGACTTTCTAACTAGGGTATACAGGTAACTGAGAATGGACAATATAATAACAAAATTGATAATCACAAGAGTTTAGAACCAGAAAACTCAATATAGCAGGTTACTTCATATATTACAAACTGGTGATTAAGGAAAACAAAATGGGTTAGTATGTATATATGAAGACAGTATTGGCTATTGCTATTTTAATAGTGTTTCCAATGTACAGACACATATTTCACTGCAGCAGAAATGAGTAAATCCATAAGAATAACTAGCAATTTTCTGCACCCTGATTTTTAAAAAAGCCACTGTTGGTTAAACTGTAAAATACATCTAAATCTTGCAGAACAACACGCAGAATTTAACTTGAGAAAGCTAAGAAATTGACTCAACAATTAGTACAAAGAACAAAAATTCCAAAGATTATCCAGAACAGAAGGCAATAAAATTTTAAATATACTACTCAGATATATAACTAGAAACTTGCCACAAAAGGTAGGGCTTATGTGTGTCAACAATGAGAACTTCTTCTCCTAAGAACTAACATCTAATGTCCTGCAGGCTTTCTCAACTACTTCATCTCCCAAAACCAAGGAAAACGGGGGAAGAACATTTAAAAAGCAAGATTATATGGAAAAATCAGATCAAGCCTTAACAGAAAAAAACAGTATTGTCTACTTTAAAGAAGTAAGACTGAATTAAGACATATACAAATCTACATAGCAGTTAATTCAATAACTTTAAACATCAGTGTCATCTTTCCATTTTCTAATTTGAAAATTTATTCAATATGCTCAATCACGTGTTAAAGCATTATTTGTATTTAGGCAATGCTTCCACTTGACGTATCAGCTGTGCCCCTAAACATAAGGAAATTATAACCATCGATCTTATTCAAGCATAAATTTCCAAGGCTATTAAGAGTTTATAAGCTACAATTAATAATACTGTTGTATATTTGAAATTTGCTAAGAGAGTAGACCTTAAGTGTTTTCACCAGAGGGAAAAAAAAGAGAGGGAGAGAGAGAAATTAGTAACTATAACTATGTGAAATTATGATTTGTTAATTAGCTTGACTGTGGTAATCATTTCACAACATATGTGTATATCAAAACATCACGTTGTACATCTTAAACAAACACAATTTTGATTTGTCAATTATACCTCAATAAAGCCGGGGGAAAAAAGAGTTTATAAGCTAGCAAGACACTAAGGCAGCAATAAACATAAAATGGTCCAGTTCACTTGAATTAGTACAAGTCAGATCACCAAGTCAGATCTAAAAGTTATTTATACCAATACAGTAGTATATTTAAAATTTTATTGCCTTCTGTTCTGGATAATTTTAAAAATAAAAAATTGTAACACCTGAAATATGAAATACTGGAAACAAGCAAAAGGTTCAATCATCAGATATCACCCTCAACCAATGACAATGTTAGGGATCTCCCTAGTTACCTTGCTCAGTTTGTGACAAAAACCAAATCTGCCATCTACCCAAAGCTAAAAGAGTCTGTAATTCACAGAAGTGAGACACTATATGATGCAGATTAGGAAGTACATATTAATTACAGTCAATAAAACATGAGTAAACTGTAGACAATAATTACGATTAATAATAATTACCCCTTATAATGATAAAAGCAAGTCCACGTACTACACGATGGCCAATAAGGAAAACTACATATGCTAATGTGTTTATAGCAACAGATTTTGGGTTATCAATATTTTTTAGAAATCTGCCAATAGCAAATGTTTTCCTTGTAGCAGAAATAAAAAGGAACAGTAAATCCTTAGGAACTGCGAGTAATTGGCTTCACCCTAATCTAAAATTGCCTTACCAGTTAAACTACAAAACTAGACGCAACAGGATAATTTTCAGTAAAAATGTTTTAGAAAGTTAGGCAGAAAAACAATAAACTGTATCGCAAACGTGACAGCACTGGTTTTCCATGTAATTATCACTGTAATTCTAAACACACTTAGAAGTTCATTCCATGACAAAGGAAATAAGACAACCTAAACTCTGCACGGTAGAGAAGATTCCAAAAGGAAAACTTTGGTAGGCTTGTTTGTATGAAGACAACTTCAAAGCACTATCTGTTTGACAAAGAAATGCAGTATAAATTGGACCTGGGTAAGGAAGAGTTCAAGTTTTCCCTGAGAATATAAAATTTCTTCCCCGAAATCCACACGGGTAAAATAAAATAAATAAATCCACATAAAAAAGCCAGCGTAATTGCAAATGAAGCAATACAAGTTCAGCATCCAATAGGTGGCTGGTCATCTTTCTGATCCGTTAGGTCAAGACGTCCTTCTCATCTACGACTCTAGGAGAAGGACTGACTGCCTCCTCTCAAACCTCCCCTGGAAGTCAACCTTTGCCAACTCGTGCCGCCTCACAGTCTGCCAAGTCCCGGGACACTCCCCCAAGCGGGACTGCTCTCCTCCGAGATGCATCCTGCCTAGTGTCACCCGCCAGTCCCCTCCCCTTGTCAGGGCCTCTTCGGCCTCAGGGTCCCCAGTGCCTCCCTCCCCAGCCCCTCACGGCTGCCCTCAGGGCTCCCCCTCGTTCCCCGACCCCCAATCCTGGCCCCCTCCCTCAAACCTGGGGCTCTCCCTCTGCCCGCGCGGGGAGTCCCGACTCTCCCGTCCCTACCGGGTCTCCCCGTCCCGCGGCGCGGGGGAGCGGCGGGGCCGAGAGACATCCACTGAGGAGACAAGTGCCTGAGACTCTCCGGCTCCAATCCGGACCGGAGCCCGGCTTCCGCCTCGAGCCGGAAGGCATTCAAGAGCGGGACCGGAAGTCCCGCCCCGCCGGCTCCCCGCCTGCCTGTGGGCTTGCGGGGCACCGCGGGGTCTTTCTACTGCTCAGAGAGGAGTGGAGGGAGAGAAGGGGTCGCCGGCGGCTGGCGGGGAGCGGAGGGGCTTGCCCTGAAGGGGCGAGGCTCCAAAAGGCTTTCTTATGCTTCGCTCTCCAGCGGATCAGTCAACCGATCTGCAATCGCTTGACCAAGGGTCTACTCTGCTCACGCCCCGTGTGGAACTAGATGACTCAGACACTGACCCCTGCCCTCGCTATCTAGTTGAAAGTTGACATAAATATAAACAGAGGTTAATCACACCACAAGGCAGTTTTGCTTCATTCCTTAATCCAAAAATTTATCACCTGCTGTATATCACTCGTTAGACAACTAGGCTGTAAACAGGTGAAAGTCCCTATCATGGAGTGAGGGAGGCACTCAGGGCAATGAACTGGGCAGAGAATAAATCAAACATCAACTTGTCCCTCGGGAAGCTTAGGGTAGTATAGGGACAAATATATGGGAAACAAGTGCAATGAAACTATCAAGCGTTAGAGGAACTGTGGCAGTGCTAAAGGCAGTGGTGGGGTGTAGGGAGCTGGGCAGATACAAGACTCTAGAGATAATCGCTCTTCAGTTGAGACGCAAATGAATGATGAATAAGAGTTAAAGGTCAGACAAGGTGGGGAAGGGCATGCAGAGAAGAAATATGCCAGAGAGAGAGTTGGCTTGATCAGGGAGCTGGAGGAGGGAACAGTTAATCTGGCAAAGTCTGAAATCAGAGACGCAAGAGAAAGCACAAAGAGAGGAGGCAAGGCCAGATCAGGAAAACTACTGTGTATTATGTTAAGGAATTTGGACTTTAGACTCCATGCAACACGGAATCAGTGCAGACCTCTAAGGGAACAGACAAAATGCTGAGTTATGAGGTTGACTAGGGTGACGGATATAGTCATCGAATAAAAATAAGAACTTGAAAGTCATGGAGAGAACACTTTACCTGTGAGGATGCTTTCTCAAACTGCCATACCCAGGTGTACAAATAATGGATGACTACTTCAACTCTATAAAGGCAGGGCCACCAGAGTACAGACCCCTCAGGTTGCCCATTGGGCAGATCACCCTGACCGAGTTGCCAGGTGAAGCCATAGGAACCATGGTATGAGGGGGCCGAGGAGGAAGAAACCTCATTATCAGCTACATTAATGAGGACTGTTCCCTCTATTGCTGTTTTCTTGCTTGCTACTACTGTTAAATAAATACCCTCTTACACACCATGCCCCATTTTTCCTGTTTAAAAGGAAACTGTGCAACCTTTTTCCCCCTTCATTTCTTTTCCTTTTGCCAGAAACAAACTATGTTGCAATATATGGAGATAGGATTAGGGTACACAGAAAGGAAGACTGGATACCATGTAGACAATTTATACCTAAAGGGCACAAAATCCCCTCTGCCTGGAGTAGAAGGACGTGGTTTTGAGTGTTTTCCCTTTGAGAAGGTTAGCAGTCAATTTGTGGTAGGATGTGAAATAACCGAATCATGTAGTGGAGAAGTGTGTCTTTGAAAGAATGGGAAGAGAGTGTGTATATGGGGGGTTTGTGTAGGTGGGGGAGTGTGTTGGGCCACCAAGAAATAAAATGTAATAGACATTTTATGAGTTATTTCCCTGTAGCTCACCACAATTCCTCTTTTTGTAGGAATGGCCCAATACACAGAGCAATCCTTTAAAGAGCCACCTATGGATGCCCAAGTGATCATGCTCTAGGGTGACCAACCATCCTAGTTTGCCCAGGATTGAGGGGGATCCCAGGAAGCTGGACTTCTGGTGCTTAAACTGAGATAGTCCTGGAAAAACTGGGACAAGGTGGTCAGTTACATGATCACATCTCCTGTATAACAGATTAATTCAGATATGAACACATCCTAAACTAGGGCATTTAGACTCTTCCCTCAAGGAATTTTAAATACGGCGTAGGGAAACACAGAGAGAAGACAGCTATTAGAGCCGAATCATATAAATGGTGGTGCCCTAAAAAAAAGATCTATTGACACCCTTTACCAAGGACCCATGACTTGCCCTGTTTTCTTCGATTACGGGTGATATCCCTGTGTACTTCCAAAACTTTTTTTTTTTTTTGCTTATCAGCCAAAGAAGATTTCTGCTTCTTGCAACCAAAGTAATTTGTTTAAGATAATCTGCCCCCAGAGCCCCTGTTGAATAGACACTGAGCCAAATGGTCCATACTTATTGTTGCAGCAAACTGGAGTAGATGTAGACACAACCCAAATAGACTAAGAGAATCGCATGCATGGATTTTAGAGTTGACATACAGAGTGCCAACTGGTTTTCATGTTGAGATAGAAATGTCATGTAAACCTAGGATTGGGTTAGGAATGAGCGAAGTGTCCCATACTGATAGAGAAATGAGGGTGGGAGGAACTAGCACAAAGAGAGAGAGAAAGGATAAGGAAGAGAGAAAGAGGGGGAAAGAGAAGACAGAATTATCTGAGAGGTGGTCATCTGAGTTCCCATCTTTTCAATTTTGATTCTACTCCCTCATGAGGACTAGCTAAACTTTGTCCTTAACTTCTATGAAAATTCTGTGTCCTTCCAGTAAATTTCCCATTTGACTTGGGTTCATTTTACTAGGTTTCTTTTGCTAGTAATTAAACACCAAGATATCAGTTCACAAGACACCAAGACATAAGATTGCCTGCTCACTCTCTTTTCTGCATCCACCTCTTTTCACCAGAACTTTGGAGTCAGCTTCTCTCCCCAGGCCAATGGCAGAAGGAAGATTGGCACATTTCCACTGCTGCCTGGTCCCTACAGGAAAGCTGTCACAGTCACCATGGGGTTGATGGGTGGGGCAAATCATATGATCAGTACGTAAATATGAAAGGAGATTTTAGAAACCAAGTATTTCAAATTCTTCATTATACAGAGGAGGGACCTAAAAGTCTAGTTAGACACAATGATTTCTCTAAGGTCAAAGGGTTCAATAGTCCCAGAGATAAGACTAGTTCAAAATCTTCTCTCACCCAGCCCAGTTACCTGATTATCTGATGTGCAGAAAGTGCAAACCCCAGGAGGCTACTGTGAAATCCTTAAAAGTGTGCTACTACCCAGCCTCCTCCCAGCCACTTCCTGGCCTTTGGTGTTTACTCGTATCTACATAATGGCACTAGCCTGACTGCAGAATCATGACAGCTGTTCAGGAGACACTGGTGAGTGACAGTGGGTAATAGACATGTTACTTTGAACCAGAAGAATATTTTAAGGAAATCTTTCCTACTTTTATTTTTTCAGAACTCACCAACTGGCTCAGACAGATGGATGGGTTAATTAACAAAGCTAATAAGCTTAGATGTTTTAAAAGTTTATTTACACATTCTACTTTCTCTTTAGTTCATACATGAGAGTTTTCCTTATATTTATTTATTCTTTTCACAACCAACATAAACAATAACATCATTAGCAGTTATGTCTAAAACTATATCCTCTTCCTTTTGGACATGGAGTAGGTTAGTAATTTGTGGCAAAATTAACTAGTCCATAGTTGGAGGCAGTCACAACAGCATGTTTCCTGGAGTATAAACAGTTTGGTATAAAATTATATTAGTAAAAGACTATGAATTGAGTGATACTTAAGATCACCCAGTGTTTGCCAATGAATAATTCCCAACTCTACTGCCAGGTACCAAAAGCAAGGTATTTTCTATGAAGATCTCAATCTTCTATAATCCGATAGTATCACTTAGACTAAAGAGGAAAATGACTCATAACATTAAGGATGGTGTTTCCTTCCTTAAAAAGGAGCTGCCCCAGAAATGTTCCAGTTCAATTGAAATATCTAAAAACATGACTTTTGATAGTTTGATCTAAATTTTACAGTGGTAAGATATATAAAATGTAGAATTTACCACTTTAGCCATGTTTAAGTGCACACTACGTTGGCATTAACATTCACAGTGTTATATAACCACCATCTCTATCCATCTCCAGAACTTTTTCATCTTCCTAAAATGAAATTCTATACCCATTAAACATTAACTCCCCATCTCACCCCCTACCATGTCTAATTTTGGTCTAATTTTATAAGTTTGTATATCCCATTAAAATATTTTCAACACTGATTCATACCCTCTGGAAGTAAACATATTTATAAATAGAAATAAAATTGTGCCTTATTCATCTCTTTTCCCCTGTGGAATTCAAATGAAACATGTGATTTCTACAGGGACACACTGTATAATAATCAGGTATTTTTACCTCTTTAAAACCCCCACCAATGGCGATTCCATGTGTCAAAGAGAAACACCCAACAGGGAAACTTGGCTTGATATTCACTAACCGGAAGTCTGGGTGGGTGTGTTTGGAAGGATTTTTATGCAAGTTAATAATTTTAAACTCCAATCTTTGTGTTTCTTTCTGCAAAAGCAGTGGGCATTCTGCATATCTGACTCAGGCACAAACCTCACTTTGTTTTCTTCCCAACAAGATCAGAGCTAAGCAGGAATTCTCCTGCCAGAGAAAGCTTTACCTGTTAAATTCCAACAGTAATAGGAAAACAAGCCTTTCCTCTTCAATAAAGATTTCATTCCAAGGCTTGGTAACTGAAATAGACATGCACTTCTACTCTTAAGTTGACAGTCTTACCACTAGGTAGAGTAATAGACTGACTTTTCAGCTCTGAGTCTCAATGATGCAAACTTATTTTCCAAGAAGAAATTTGCTAGGCTGAGACGACTGAGACAAAATTTTCCCTATAGGAGGGACAAGGTATAGCTCAGTGGTAGAGTGAGGTTCAATCAATTGAACTCAGGATGGGTTCAATCCCCAGTATTTCCATTAAAAATAAATAAATAAACCTAGTCACCTCCCCTTCCAAAAAAAAAAAAAGTTTCTCTGTGAAACACAATGAACTGGATATATGTCTTAAAGA